GGATGCCGCCATTTTGGCTCCAGCGCTGACTGCATGGCAAACCACTGGCCAAACGTCTGCTCTACCTTCTGGGCCCACAGCTGAACTCCCTCAGGGTGGCATCTCACCCCCGAAGGAACACGGCACCTCTTGAGGTCAGCCGGTCCGGTGCCAGCGTATGGCTTCTCTCGAGAGGAATCCGTCTGGAATCCCTCCTTATCTGCCCGACGCTTCCCTTGGCTTGCCGATGGCGGGATCTCTGGGCCACCCCTCTCCCTGGGACCCAGCCCATGTGGCCCCCTGTCAGGACCGCCCCCCTCGCTCCGTTCCCCCCCCGCCTCCGCGGGCAGCCCTTCGCCGACCCCACGCGCGCACACAAGAGCGCCACCCACCGCCAGGACGAGGCCCAGGGTCATCAGCAGGGCGCTGGCGGCCATGCCGGCCAATCCCACGAGGTGCAGAGTCCGGCGTCCCGCCCTCTCCACCAGGAAGAGCTGGGGGAGACACGGAGAGGTCAGACCCGCCGGACACGCCGGGCCCCGCCGGACACGCCGGGGGGCGAGGCGGGGAGACTCACCGAGATCACGGTGAAGATGGTGTTCACCACGCCCGCCCCGATGGTGGCGTAGATGGGCTCCGTGATGCCGGCTTTGGCGAACTCCCCGGTGGAATAATAGAAGACCTGGGAAAAGCAGGGGATCAGCACACTGACGTCAGGGAGAGCACCCCCCCCTCGGGGGGCAGATCCACGAGAGCCGGCGGAGCCATCAAGCCCCTGGGGGCTGTCCCGGCCTCCGGGCTTAACGGCGGAGCCAGTACCGACCCGGTCCTCAGAAAAGGGCAACAGCGCCTTGTCTTCTGAGGGAAGCTGAAGTCCGGTTCCTTCCCTGAACCTGCTCCAGCTCGTACCCCGATCGGCTGGTCTGGCGGCCTGGAGAAACTGCGTCTCCCAGCCCTCTCCCCCCGCCTGTCAGGTACCCCAGCTCCGAAAGCGACAGGTTCAAGGCCTCATTCATACCTGTGGCCACATCCTTGCCAGCAGCCATATCACCCTGCAGCTCACAACTGGCAGCCCCACTGAAGCCCAGCAGGTGTGAGCCTGGGCAGTACCTGGAGGGGAGACTCCTGGGAAACACTAAGGCTGCTGCTGGAAGAGGTGTTAGTGGGGCCAGTAAGGGGCGCTCACCCTGCGGTCCATGTGGGTCCTAATGCCCCAGTATAGTGACGGGGACACTATA